CATTTTCAATTCTTTCTTCTTGTCTTTGCTTTTCTCTCTGTCTTGAAATGTACTTCGCTGATAACGTCATGTTAGTAGTCCACAACAGCACTCAAAATTTACTTTTTTGTTTCAGTACTGCTTTTGATGACAATAATTATTTTTTACATGATATTAGTCATTATTTTATCTTCAAACATAACCTGATAGATAATGAATTTCTATTATTAAGTAACAAAATCCTTAACATTTTAGTTGTACAGACATCTGGAGTTAAGTTGGTATGACTAACTACAATTTTCTAGTGTTGAGGAAATTGGAACCATTTGAATCTGTGATCTTCCTTACATTTACCTGAAGTTTTATATTGTGTTTAATTGAAGCTAACACAGTGCTGTTCTTGATGATGTCCTTTGAACATAATTACTAGTGTTTACTGCTTGTGAAATTGATTATTTTTTATTTTTAAATGTCTAGTTTTTATTATGAATTACAAAGAAGAATACTAAGTGTTTTTAAGGGGAAGAAAATGTAGCTGTAGTCAGGAAGATGTAATAATTCCTAAAAAAAAATGCAACTGGAATGTTTGTTGGCTTATTTCAGTATATTTAAAAGAATTGGTAAAATATTTTCTCTTTGTATATTTGTTGGTGTTGTTATAATTTATGCCTAAGTGCCCCCTGCCCATTTTGGTTAATTAATGGCTGACTAATGATGTGCTGGATTGAAGTGTTGTGTTTGCCTAAGGTGTGACTTCGCCCATTTACACTTTAGTCAGACCACACTGTGTTTACTCTCAATCTGTATCTCTATCGCTCTTTCTCTCTCATCATGTGTTTGTTTGTGTGTGTGTGTGTGTTTGTGTGTGTGTCTCAGAGTGGGGGGCTGTGTGCAACAGGACTCTGGTGAACTACCCAAACAGATGCTGATTAGTGTGAGCTGCTTAAAGTAGGAATGAGCATATGGATTGGGCTCATGAAGTTGACAGTACTTTACAAAAATACTGCCTTTCAGGAAAAAAGGGTACATCCTAGTGCTGTTGAAGTTTAGCCCGAAATTTACTTTGGAATAATTTTTACCTACTAACTTTTTTTCATCTCTAATTATGTTTTCATGTGTTTGCTTACATGTAATTTTTATTTCCTGTATATGGTGAAATTGATCTAAGATTTACCAAACTTCTAATCTAAGAGAATTGAGTAGGAGATTAAAGTGTCTGAACAAACAACAAGATGACTGAAAGTTTGCCTCTTTAAGAAAAACAAAATGAGCCAACTTGGAGCTGCTTCTGGCTATGCATAAATCTCAAGTGGAAATGGAAATATTCCACACAGCTGTGAGCTTTCAGAGATGAAGCCTAACATGCAAGCCAAGAGGAGTTGCTAGATGGCATTAATGCTATTACTACACATAAAATTTGAGCTTAAAGTTGCATATTGTTCCTTTCAAAACAATAAAAGTGGGTGAATCTAGCCTAGCGATCCTATTCTTTGCTTCAATCGTAAGATTTTGAAGCCTTGTAGTTGTCTGATCGCACAAACCATACGCCATCATTATGTCACTCCTCCAGGCTATGACTGCCCTTGATGAGTCAGGGGTGGGTAGACTTCAACCCCCTCTTTGCATCAATTCTTTCATAAAACACATGGAAAGAAATGGTACCTTAATCAGCATTAAAGTATTTTTTTATGAAAAGGGTTGTTGCCTTAGACCACTAGTTGGAGGTTACATGCACTCTTTCTGTATATTATTTAATCATGACTCTGTAGTTCTTACATTTTATTTTATTTTCTGTAGTCCATTTTTTGTGGCGATGCATTCATTGATGCAATAATAAGTGTTTATGTTATGCTTGAGTACTTTTTGGAAACAAAAAATTTAAAGTCTGAAACGAGTTAGAAAAGTTGAGGATGTATTTTTGTGAAACGCTGTACTTATTCCAAAAGTTAAATGTACTTGTATATGGAAATTTAAGACTTGTATCTGGAGTTTTGTTAGATAAATCTGTGCTGCATATTATTTTTCAAAGCGAAAGCATTTCTATTTTAAGTTGTCCTCATATCTGGATTGTTTGTAACGTCTGGGACAACCTGAGGTATTCACAATGTTTTCTTTCTCCCTGGCTCTTCTGCTCTCTGGCGCATCTGTACTCCAGATTCAGTGTAGTTCTGTTGCCCCTCTTTCTCAGTCCCTTTCTTCCTTGCACACATATCTTCTTCTGTGACTCCTTTTTTCAATTCTCCTTGGTTCTCCTTCTACCCTCTCTCTCTTTCTCTCTCCTTACCTTTCCCCCCCTCTCTCTTTTTTTTTCCTTCTCTCTCGATCCCTTGCTCTCTCCCAGTGAAAGGCTGAGAATACCCAAGGGAGCTGATGCAATTAAAATGCTAATCCTGTCTGTCTACAGAGAGAGGGAAAGGGGGGGCTGACAGCATGAGGGATTGCGGCTCACATGGAGAACTCGACTGAAATGGAGAACAGGGGGTGGGGATGGGGGGGCACAGGAGGAGAGTGTGTGTGTGTGTGTGTGCATGTGTCGTAAGGGTGCGTTGAAAGGGAGAGGGGGGAGGGGCGGTGTGTTGGGGGAGACAGAGTGAAAAAGGGGATGCTAGCGAGGGAAAAGACAGACAAGGATAAAGCTTGTGCTCTGAGCTGAGCAATGATATACTGACGGCGTTTAAGCTTTATCTATGCCTATGTAAGGAAAGCATTGCAGTTAATGTACAGCACTACACTGTTGGCTGAGTTGTTCACCTTTACCTGCACCACTTTTTATTTTGTCTTTTGTATCTGCACAGCACAATGTTTCTACTTTGGCTGTGCAGAAATGAGAATGATTATGTATGCAGAGAGAGCCCAGCTGGATACCCTGAATATTTCATAGTATGTGTTGCTCGCTTAGTCTTCCAATGCCACACCGCCCAGCTAGGCTTGTAACATATGCATAATGGTGATTTCTAAAAGCTATAAACATTGGCTGTGAGCCTGTCTTATTGTCTTTAAAAATATTAGTGTTTAGCAGTTGCAGCTCTTTTTTTGAGTTTTTTAGGATTCCTAATGGAGACCTAGATAATTTACGTGGGGAAAAAAAGTAACTGGCCATAATTAAACGACTGCACCAAAGTATGCAGTTATGATATTTTCAGCTTTCAGAAACTGATAATTTAGCTTTTTGCTGTGTTTTATTGTAGTTTTTTTTCTCCATATGTGATACAGTCCTTTCTTTAACATTATCTTTAACTCATCTCAACAGCTGCTGTAATATCAGTAGGCCACTAGATTGTGCATGGGTGCAATTCTGGGTAATCACAGCTTAATTGGAGTAATTAGGGAATGTTGGGGCATTAGGCTACAGCTGGGGGCCATAATGAGTCACAGTAAAAAAAGAGAGGGGGGGTGGTTAGGTGAGATGCTCCAAAAGTAGCAGTTGTAGCAGTTGCCCTCTTGTCTGTAGGTCATCGTATGTCTCACTGGCAGCAAAAGTAAGAAATAATACTTCTTGAATTAAAAACCCACAAATCTTCACCACCTTAATCATTTTCCTTGAAGCTTCAGTCAGAAAACTCTCAAAAAAAAGTTTTGGTAAACAAGTTAATTTGATAATTGGCGGCGCATTTTTAAGAAGCTGTTGGCTATCTGACTAAAAAGTGCAGAGATCGTTTGTGTTTTCAGAAGGGGGGAAGAAAGTGAAAAGGAGGGAAAGAGATGGGCGAATCAGGGTCATTAGTTCAGGCAACTGGGTCTGCTGCATTCCTAAGCCCTGAGATGGGGGAGCAACACAGCAGGAATGTGCCTTTGGTGGAGAAGAAGCATAACGGAAAGGAGAGAAAAAGGCAAGCAGAAACAATAAGAAAAGTTAGCAAAGAAGCAAAGGTAGATTTGATAATGTGGTGGAAAAACTTAGCAAAGAAAATGAAAATTGTCTTCAGATTTCTTTTTCACACCAGTGAGTAGCCCTTGATTGCTTCAAACATAAAATCACAATTTTATTGTAAATAATATTTTTTTTAAAATTAACTAAGTGAAAAGAGAATCACATAAATTTGGAACAAAAAACTTATTTGACGTAAAAGTGAAGCTTGAACAAGTTCTAAAAAATGTTGCACTTTGACAAAAATCATTTAATTAGCTAACACCATGCAGTCATTGCAGGGATTATTTATGCCCGTCATTTAAAACTAACTGCTATGACTTTCATAATATGCATCTGAATCTGTTGTCCCCTTAAAATAAGCTACACCTGTGAATAGAGGTTGGACCAAATTTACATTGTGATGCAAATTTATTCATCTGAACTTAAACATTATCCATTAGTAATTATAATTGTTCAGTATTTCTTATTGTTTCTGTATGAGTCTTGCATACAAATAACTTACTTTAATGAGATTTAAACATACAATGAAGAATTTTTCTACAAGTCTTTAACTCTCCTTACTAAAGTGAAGACACTGAATTGTTCAAGAAGCTTCCATGCTTACTTTCTGAAGTTGAATGATTGAAACGCAATGAGGGCAAGAAGAAATTTAGTTAAGTGTTAAAAGCTGCAGGCCCTGAGAAAAGATTATTGTCTGAAGTTAAAACTTTGGTAACAGAGTGGTGTCTGTAAGGGCGAGTGTGTATGTGTCTGGAAATGTAAGTGTGAACGAGAGAGAGATGAGAGCAAGGCTGTAGGCTGACAGAGGTCCTGGTATAATACAGTGGTGGAGAGCAGCGACTGATAACTATACTTATGGCCACTGGGGCTCATAGTGACAGCACATGCACTTCTATTACTGGTCTCATGCCTCATGCCCTTATCTCTGGCAGGCTGCCATCGAGAGACCACACTGCCCTCTGCTGTTTGTTTAGAGCAACTCCATGCTTAACATTAACGATCATTCCTAAGTTTTTACAGAGCAGCTCCTCATTTTTTACACATCTGGTTGTTTGTTCATAATGACTCTTAGTTGTAGTTGCTGGGCCTAGTTGTCTGATTTTTATTTATTTATTTATTTATTTTTTCATGTGTTTTCTTTTCTCTCTAGTTCTGAGTATACGAGGTGTACAGGAAGAAGACCCCCCAGACCCCCAAATCATGCGGTTGGACAACATGTTGCTTGCAGAGGGCGTGTCGGGACCAGAGAAAGGCGGGGGATCGGCTGCAGCCGCTGCAGCCGCAGCCGCAGCAGGGGGCTCACCCACCGACAGCAGCATTGAACACTCTGACTACAGAGCCAAACTTGCCCAGATCCGTCAGATATATCATTCTGAGCTGGAGAAATATGAACAGGTTTGTTCTGAGCAGACTGAGACCTTTGAACTTGACCAAAGCCTCCCTTGAGTTCATTTTATTTGGCTTTACAAAAGTAATGTATGAATAGATAAACGGATATAAAATGAGAACTGAAACAATTAATCAATACCCCTTTATTTATTTTAGCACTTAGATAGTTATTGCAGTCTAAAATGGCTGAAACTATTGTTAGAGAGGCTCTAATCAATCAATCAGTCCGACATTAGACTTGGCCAGTGTTTTTTGATCAATAACTGGCAGATCACATTGCTGAAAAATATCAGATTTTGTGTACTTTGAAGTAAAAAAAAAATTTTATATAAAGTTGAGGGATTAGTGTTATTGAGGTTATTTTTTAGCTACAATAGGAGATGCTGTTTTATCCCTATTAATACTTTTTCATCTGAAGTTAATATGATCAGTGCAGGACTCGTCCCAATCTGTACCTTTCAGTAACACATGTACTTCATCCCATCTTTTAACAATAGCACTTAACTCCTTTCTGTCTTTTTTTTCCCAGGCCTGCAGTGAATTCACCAACCATGTAATGAACCTGCTGAGGGAGCAGTCTCGCACACGGCCCATCTCTCCCAAGGAGATTGAACGCATGGTGGCCATAATCCACCGTAAATTTAGCTCCATCCAGATGCAGCTCAAACAGAGCACCTGCGAGGCAGTCATGATTTTGCGCTCACGCTTCCTTGATGCCAGGTCTGTCTTCGTGTTTTGTTTGTATCACACAACACCAGTGTTGTACTTCGAATGCCCAACCTGTTGTTCATGATCTCTTTTGTGTCAGGCGTAAGAGGCGCAACTTCAACAAGCAAGCTACAGAAGTACTGAACGAGTATTTCTACTCCCACTTGTCTAACCCCTACCCCAGCGAGGAAGCAAAGGAGGAACTGGCCAAAAAGTGTGGGATCACTGTGTCTCAGGTGAATAGCTTATTCAGCTGATATCCAAAATAGTTGCAGGTTAAGCGAATTGAAGGTCACCATCTGTTAAATCCCGACAGCTTTGAAATATTACATTTTCTGGTAAAAAGACATTTTATTTACGAGCAAACAGGTTTGTTGCCATTTTTAGCTAAAACTAGGGATGCACCACACAAAATACAGACTTTATGGATTTTTAAAAGACCTGGAGTGCACACTTAACAACTGTGTATACTGAGGGTTAGGAGGCTACAGGATTTGTCAAACCAAATTAACCCAATCTAGTTTAGAACGGCTCCCCTCACATACAGAGTCTCATCTTTACCTCTTATTCATTAAACAATTTTCTTCCCACAATTTTCATTGACTGTCCCCAATTAGAGGTAGAATCATGGCTGCCTATTTGCAGCTAAACAAATGTTTATTCACTGCTTTATAATATGAAATCCATGTGTTCTTCAGGTCTCTAATTGGTTTGGCAACAAGAGAATACGCTACAAGAAGAACATCGGTAAGTTCCAGGAAGAAGCTAATCTGTACGCGGTTAAAACGGCGGTGGATGCTGCGAATGTGTCAGCGCAAGCCAGTCAGGCTAACTCTCCAGCAACACCCAACTCAGGTATTGCCACAATCCCACCTCATTTCATAGTTCTGCTTAAATAGTGTGTCCAAAGTGTAAAACATATGATCAAATCTCACCTGTTTTCAAGTCGAGTAATCTTCCTGTTCCTGGTTTTTATTGGTGAAGAGTTTTTGTTTCTGAGCTTTTGCTGCTTTTTTTGGTTTCTGGGCTACACCCAGACCTTTTTCTGGCATTTTTTGTTTTTAAAAGCCTTCGTATTATAAAACATTTGGGGAATTTCTTTTGCATTATCTCACAGTAAGTATTGATGTATTTACTAGTCAAGTCATGCAGCATCTTGAATCCTGAAAGTCTTTCTGTAACAACGCTAAGGTTTTTTTTTTAAAGACTTTGACATGTATTTTATCTCATTTGTGAAATATCTGAAGTTGTATATCTTGTCATGAATTGTCCTTCGAGATCTATCCAGGGATTTTGGTGACTTACTGTTTTGATTTTTGATATTTCACAGACATCTTGTTCTGTTTTAATGTTTCTATCACCAACACTCAAAGGAGGAACATGAAAGTTTCCGTCAAAGACTAAAATGGTTATTACGGTCAGGCATGCAGTTAGTTTGCACTATGAGCCACAGTTGTTTCCTACGAGACCTTCTTGTTGTTGAAATTGAACTAGTAAAATCTACATGCAGCGCAAGTATAAATGACAGTAATTGTATGACTAATTTGGCCAAATGTAACACAAATACTTGAAACGGTTAAAAATTTAGTTTTGTGCATGTGATCATTTGCAAACTGTAACTTGCCTTTTTGTGTTGCTTCTGGAGTAATGACCTCTTCCTCTCATTGACCTTTCAGATGATGGAAGTCTCATTTTAGTATTGTTAAGGGCAATCACTTAACTTGCTTCAGCCAGCACCATCGCAAGTTCTTTTTTTTTTTCTTGCGTTCATACACACATATTACAAAAACACTTTTCTTCCAGTATAAAGACAGCGTTGTTTAAAGTCACTTTAATGTTAATTAATTCAAACTTCTGAACTACTAATGTAAAGAAAGTAAAGAAAATAAATAAAAAAAAAATAAATTTTTGTAACATATAAATAGTCCTAACTGACCTAAAACAGAAAACATTTAGTTAGATTTAAAATTTTCAGTACAATGTGTTAAATGATCTGGTTTTCAACGTCATATGAAGGTATAGAGGAGGTCAACCTAACTAAATACATTAAAAAAAACATGCACACATGCTTTCTTAAGGGTCAAACAGCTTTTCTCATGCAGGTGATACCTACCTTGGCCAACGTTCCCTCAATGGTGAGGGTCTCAACTTTACCCCCTCTCTACAGCTGCAGGTATGCAAAGAGGACAGCTGCAGAGTTGATGGAGTTGATCCCCCTGGTGTAAACCATCCGCAGAGCATCCCTGTATATTTTCCCTTAGACTGACTCCTTCTGACCCCTCGTCGGATCCTGTCCTGACTGAACCTTTGATATTACCACTAGATTCCCACACAGTGCAAACTGACCATTCTTTCTTTAGAGAATTGGGATATTGGAAGTGCTGGATTTTCTATCTTGCGTACATATGTCAAAACCCATTAAAGGCTGTATCAGAGCTCTTAATCAAGGCTGTTCAACTCAAAGCATGCAGCTGAAACAAACCCATGTATAAAAGATGGCATTCAAACCAATAATCTCTTTGATTAATGGTCAGTTTCTTTGCCTCTTGGCAATCCTGTTCCTCCTACAGCATCACAGCTTCCTGTCGATGCCAGTTCTTGTTTTTCCATGCATATCCAAACATTCTGTATTACTCCTTTATCCGTGTAGTTTTAATTGTGTTCAGTGGTTATTTGTTGAAAGTGGTGTTTTGCCGTTGGTTAAAAATCCACAGATTTCTGTTGTAATGCTTTATACAGGGCTTGTAAGTCCAAAACTTATCTTTTGGTTTCACTTTCTCTTACTGGTATGACTAATTTCTTAGGTAATGTTTAAGCTTGAACTGGGTGGAACGGCAACAGCAAGGCACTTGAAGTGTAACCTGAGAAATTTAGAAAAAACCTTCCAGCTGGCTGGAGCCAAGAGATGCCCAACACTAGGAGAGTGGCCAAGTGTTGGGGATGAAAAGGGCTGAACGGGTCTGTAGTCAGAACAAAAGACGCACTTTTACCAACTTATTAACTTTGATGCTACATTTATACTTAAGGACTGCTCTGTCCTGAAGTATGCCGGTAGTCAAAGCAGAGGAGACTCGCTCGGATTCCACTCCGTAACTACATTGCAAATAAATCACTCATTTGTAAAGCTGTCGCCGTTGACCACACTTGCTATTCAACTCCTGGCTGTGTGTCCTGGTGAGATGCTCGCCCCATTTTAAACCCAAATGGGGCGAGTGATGAAAAGTTGTACTATTTTAAACAAATAAAAGAATTCAACTGTTTGACAAAAGGGGCCATCACAAATGACAAAAATTGATGCAATGTCATGGTCAACTTAAACCACCCTGTTCCATATTGGGACCTTTCAATCTACAAATGTTCCAGAACATTTGTAGATTGTAGATTGAACGTGACCTAAAAGGGGCTTGAGTAATTATGTAGAAGTTTGTGGATACCAGCTGTACTTCGTTGACCTGTTCGACAAATTTTCTGTTTTGTCTTTAAAAATGTTAATATTTACATGTTTTTTCACAGGTGGATACCCTGCACCGTGCTACACACCTGACGGGCGGCTATGAGGAGTTGTCAAGCAGTGGCCTCTTCACCCCTCATCGCCTGGATGTAAGTAGCTTCAAGTCTGTGCTGTTATAGTTTCCGTAGCCGAGTTAGCAATCACTGCTGTATTTTCATGTCATCAGAAATTAAAGGATGGAAAAATTACATCCGTCCAGTTGGACAATGAAGCTTAACATATGAAAGAAATGCATATTTTAAAATATGGCACCAACTTTCAAGATATTATATAGACTGATTACATTTCATTACTGTTTTAAATATTATGATTTCCAGAAATTAAGTCATTAGCAACTTGCAGTCAACTTGTCTTAAGATGTGGCCAACATTTCAAGGTATTACAGTAGATATGGTTGTCTTAAATTTGTCCATTCGTTGCATCATCCTGCAACATTTTCTGTTTTCTTTGTAGCTCTAGTGGAAGAATTTAATCATACAAAATGATCCTGGGTAGCAAAAAAAAAAGAAGCATTAATCTGGTTACTTTTCACAGTTTATTTGGGTCATAAGTTTAAATCATGGCTTTAAATGTAAACTTCCTGACGCTTGCAGAAATATTTCAATTGCATGTGAATTGTGCTCAGTTGTTTGACCAGGATTTTCCTCAGCAAGGACATCGGTAGCATATTTTAACCAATTAAGGTAAGAAATTGGTCATCAGTCTTCATCTCTGTGCCGCTTCCCTCCTTGTCTGACTGCAGGCTAACAGCTGGCAGGACACCACCAACCCACCCTCGGTTACGTCCCCTCCTGGTCCTCCTGGCAGCGTCCACTCTGACACTTCCAACTGATCTGGTGGCTTTACCTGCCTTCTCTTTATTCCCACTGTGGTCTGCTGTTAAAATCATCTTGTATTCCGATTTTTTTTCTTTTTTTTTCCATTTCTCCCCTGTGAACAGGCCACATGAAGTTGTATACACATTTCATTCACACTTGCTGTTCTGGACCACAGGACAGCTGTACAGTAGCTGGGAGGAAATGCTCCTTTCACCTTCATTCCAGTTCTCCGCTCTTTAAAAGTTAAAAAGGGGAATGGAGCTCAGAGACATAAAGAAAAACATCCTTATTGTCAAGGACTTTGGGGAAAAAAAAAAACAAAAACACATCCAGCTGTGTAGATGATCATGATGTCTGTACATTATGTGTATATGCACGTTAACTTTACACAGTACTCCCACGGCTTGTTCATGTGCTGTTTGACCTTTACACTCAACTCTTTGCTTTGGGAAACTGTGTGTAATTGCCCGTATCTGCTGAAGCCTTGGCATCTGACAGCCAAACTGTGGTTACAGACCACCAGGGAGCTCTGCTCACCTTGCTTGTACCAAAGTGCTGCCCCAGTGTTCCTCTGAGATTACCCTCTGCCTACTCAACACAAGACACTGTTGCATCAATGTATCCTTCTGTTAGGATTTTAAGGTGAGCAACTGTCCCCAAAACGTACGGCTCACAACTTGTCAGCTGTTCTCATTATGAGCCGACATAAACGATGTGTCAAGCACAGATTTTAGCATCCTTGCTATGGGTTTCTACCTTTCTAGAAAGGTGAGGGGGATCACTGCTCTGAACCAGGCAGGACAAGAGATGGTAGGGCTGGTGTGAAGAGAATAGGAGAACATCTTTGGTTGAGCATATGTAACCAATAGCTCTTTCCACTGCTAACCCATAGAGGGTGTTAGTAGATGGCTTGTAGACTTTACTTCTTTCTTTCTGTCCACTAGTTTATTTGATTGTAGACTATTATCTAATGCTGTTTCACCAAGAATGCACCAGCCACCACCAAAAATTAGCTCAATACGACATCTTTATGACAAACGGAAGGGTGGAAAGATCGCAAGGCATCGATGTATTACTGGAACAAATGTGACATGAACTTAGAAATGTGACTGTCTTCCATGCATGTAGGACTTCTAGGTGTTATACTGTTTTTCATTTCCGTTTTTAGCTTAATTTGTATTAACGAGAAAAAAAAAATTAATACATAAAGGTAAAACTATTACAGTCAGACCAAAACCAAAAAAAAGTGCATCACATGTTGATGTGTCTGTGTGGACGTGTAAAAGGTTCCTGGGATATATCTTAGTCAAAACTGGCTGGTGCTCCTTCGAACTTTGTAAGCATTATGTAGACTGGGTGCTTCCACCAGCTGACGACACGCAAAGTGGGGTTCAAATTAGATTTCTTCCCCATCTTGAAACTTAAGCTTGTGAGCCTGAGGCAACATGTTAACAACCTGATGTTGTACCAAAACCAAATATACAAAGTTCAGCAATGTAATAATGCTACTTTTTTTAAACATTGGTGCACAGTCGCCTTTTACATTTGAGGAGAGGAGGGAATTCTGTTTGTACCTGTGTCTCTTTGTGGTGTTGTCATGCCTCAAGTTGGTTTCTTTTTGTTTGTTTTTGTTTTAAATGGGGCTTCATAAATGATGGGTGAAGTGAACACTCATCACTCCTGTGATTTGATTGAGCATAAAATAAATGCTCTGCCTTTTCTTTATTCTTTAATACCATCTCGTAAAAAAAACCCATCTTTTTATGTTCCATGGCCGATTGGGCAAGGGCTTCTCTCTCTCCTCTGTTACCAAAAAAAAAGAGGCAGCACTGGGTGTAGTAAAACTCTTAATTTGTGTGTAGGACAAAACCTGCCACATTTTGCCGATTTCCATTCGTTAAAGCTGTTTTATACGTTAAAGATTACGTGAATAACAAAGCGTTTTGATAGTAAGGTAAAGCCTTATTAAGATTTGTCATGAAAGAGTTTGTTTGAACCATGTCACAAAAACAGAAGCTGAGCTTGAAAGCCGGTCACATGTTATCTTTCACATTTCATTTCCTGTTGTCTCACGCAGCAGCTTGTTATTGCTGCGTCTCGAGTAATGGCGTCGTCACACCAAATTATCATGCCGCCCCTTTTTTTTTTCTACTTGTTGTAATGGATGTCACTGTACAGTTTGTGTAATGTTTCAGTACATTTTCTTTTTCTTTTATAAAACTTTGTTTGGTTGAGATATCTACTGTTTCACAGGATTCACGCTAACTCTTTATTGGCTTTGAATATTATTTAGATCTTTTGTTACATAACCAAGTTGCAGTGTAGGATGAACAAATGTAATGCGGTGCTGTGGAACTATTTATTTTTTTTATTTTCCTATAACCATTTTGTCCCCCTTTTTAATTTTCCACATTGGGTTTGCTTTTACTTCTTGAACGCTTCAACGACAAGTTTCCCTCGTTTGTTGCCTCGGTGATTTGCCACTATTGCCATTCACCTCAATTTATTACAGCAGAAACATCAATGCCTAAATACTTGATGTCAATATATACACTTTGTGAGCTCATGCATTTTGCAGCAGCGTTGTAAACTCAATAAAAATAATCTTATTGTAAACTAACAAGTATTTTGATCATTCGACTGGTTTAGTTCCACAGCACCAAATGTCTTTGTAAACCTTCATTTGTTTGTTTTTATTAGTATATTTGTATCTCCCTCTTTCCCTTGTATTTACCCCTCTCTCTACCTCTGTCTTTCCATTTCTCTTGTATATAACCCCACTGTTTTCAGACTTGTGAGTCTGTATGAACTCCTTTTATACCTCAACTTTAGAATTGATCTAGAAAGAGTAAAACAAAACGGAAGAATATGACAAAATTGTAGTGTTCTTATTAGAAAATTAATAAAAAAAAACAATTTAGTGTGATTATTTTTTTTCGGTATTTCATTTTAGGAGTGTTTCATTTTATAAGTTGTCACAAATGCTCTTGTGATAGTCAAATGTAATAAAAGGAGAGATTGCACCATCTGTTGATTTTTAGGTGAATTTGTTAGCTGCACAAAGATGAAAAACTTTTCGAATGCGAACTGTAAGGATTTTTTCTTTTTTTCCCTTTAATTGGTTCAAAATTTTAAACGTCAACACAAGATTTACAAATCTATACACTGAGGTTACAATATGTCTGATTTTATCATTGTCACAGAGTCTGTCCACTTATCTTTACTGTTTATGTCTGAATTCTTCCACAAGACTGGATCTTCTAACTTGTAGCTAAGCGTTTTCTGTAGACAAGAACAAAAGTTTTTGTTTTAGAATTTCAGAAAAAGTCACACAATTACTTAAAAAAAAAAAAGATGAATCATTAGACAAGACATTGGCTTGACAAGATAACTGCTGACAAGTACAAACAAGCAAATTATTCAGAAATCTGCTCTAAGAAGTGAAACTGGAATGACATGCAGATGAGATGATAGGATGTCAGAGAAAAAAACAAAAAACTGAAGAGCTGCCACCAAAGTGAAACCTATAACCTGAGGTGCTTTGAGTGTGTATTGACTCTAGAGATCACTTTTTTGATGAGTTACCTCTTTCAATGGAGAGTCCATTTCTGTTGACAGAGTCTCCTTCGGCTGACAGCCCCCATGTCGACAAAAACAGCAAAGGATCCACTTGAACGTTTTCCGCATCTCGGCGTCACGTAAGGAGTAAATGATCGGATTGACCAGAGAGTTGCACTCTGCTATCACCAAGCAGTATTTCTCATATTTGTTGGCGTTGCCCTCTGTACCCTGCAGCCCGTCCAAGAGGAGAACGATGAGGCCAGGTGTCCAGCAGATCACAAAGGCACCTGCAGAGATGTGGATTGTTTATAGGGACAGAGATGAGTAAACGACACATGCACATTTTTTCACTGGTGCGGGACGATGCCTGCCAAGCTATGGCACAACTGTAAGGTCACATTTCTCCGTGGTTGCATAATAATCATGCAGAACATAATCACAGACAGGAAATGAGTCACCCAAGTAGTAGAAAGATAGATCATAAGATGGAAAAATTCTAATAAAGTTAGAACTTAAACCACCTAAAAAACTAAGATGAGGGAAGACGGAGAAAAGACAAAACTGCTTCGCAGACAAATGCAAGATAAGTAATCTTGACAAGCCTATACTTTGTGAAACATTTGTTTGCTCTGAGTCAGTTGTTTACATTCCTGAAAAATCTGTATTTGCCCTTACCCAGAACCATAGAAATGGTTTTCATCAGGTTGATGACGGTCTGCTGTCGTGCCTCTGAGGCGTGCTGAGAAGTGTGGCGACTCTGCCGTTTCACGTGAAAGAATATGTGAGAGTACATGCCCACCATAATGAAAAAGGTGAGCAGGTTGAGAAGTGCCCAGAAAATCAAGAAGCGGCAGCTGTAGAAGGGAGCGACAGTGGAGCAGTCCGCAAGGTCGCACTCGCAGTTCCAAAACAGCGATGGCACCAGACCCATGATGATGGCTACGGCCCAGATGGAGATGATGAGCAGCACCACGCGCCTCTTGGTCATGGTGCTGTGCAGCTGCATGGTGATGATGGTCTGGTGGCGTTCCACAGCCACAGCCAGGAGGTTGGCGACAGAGGCCGTCAGGCTGATGTCAATCAAAGCCCCACGGATGTACCACTGCTTCTTACTGAGCGCTGCTGTCCAGGGTCCCGTGTTGAATATCAGGTTGGTGTAGGCCAAACCTGCAAACAAGTCTGCTGCTGCCATGTTTCCCAGCAGGTAGTAAATGGGGAAGTGGAAGCGACGGTTCATGAGGATTGCTGCCATCACCAACAGGTTGGCCAACACCACTATTAAAGATAAAGGCAAGCCTAGTCCTAGGACCAGGTAGTCCCGTGTAGTCCAGTTCCCTCCGATCGTTTTATTCACATTTTGGTAAAAGAAGGTGACGCTTTGGTTGCTGTAGCAGCCGTTCGACGTATCATTGTCACTGGCCATAACTGCAAAGAAAAAGAAAAAGGGCAGAAAATGTTAAAGGGAGAACAACATGCAACTACTAAAACCACATCTTTAAATTTACAAACATTTAGACATTGGAACTCAAAAATGATTTAATCTTTACCAGTTACTATAATTTTACCCTGAGTATTGTGAACCGCAGAGCAGGTTCTGCATTTCATTGAGGAAACAAAAAAAAGAAAATGGAGAAGCAGCTAGTAAGAAAGGTTCACGCTTCAATAGGACTTAGAAAAAGACATGTCAATCCATAACAAGCGTTGGTGTTCATTAATCTGAAAAGGATTAAACAATTTCCAAATAATATTAACTCAAATCTTCAGGTTATTTACAACTGGAAAATATTTGAGTGCTGACCTTTTCTAATTTCGCCCAGCATTAGAAAAAAACAAAACAAAGAAAAAAGCATGAGTTGAGTCTCTGCAGGGATTACATGGTATGTTAAATCCAATTAGAAAGAAACCAAACCTGTATGGCCTGTTTGAAAGAACATACAAACAGAAAATTTTGCAAAGTTGTATTTCAAAAAAACCCACAAAACTTCTGAAGCAATGTCATTTGGAGAAGCAAATGTATTTGGCAACAACCAAAAACTACATCACCACAAACACCTCGGAAAAAAAAAAACTCACAGAAACTGTCAAGCATTTCAGTGGAGGTATAAAAATTCAACCAAGTATTCTAAGAACTCAATGAGTAAAAACTAAAGAAGAGTAGTGGACCAACATTTCTGGACAAAAGCAACTACCTTACAGGATGTCCTTATCATTTAAACTCAATGTTTCATTCTGGTTTTACTTTTAAAAAACTAAATAAATAGTCACTGTGTTAAAACATTTTCTAATTTGGTAAAAACAACAACAAAAAAGTCTAGAACGTCACCTGCAGCTTTTAAAGCTAAATTTGATGTACATATAAGACTTACTTGCAGCAGGCATTTTCCAAAATATGTAGCAGCTGGTTTCCAAAGTTGGAGTTTAGAAATGTACATTTATTTGTTTTCTGGAGATTAAGCTAGAATAATAATAGTAATAAAAAAGGAATGTTCATAGAGTGCAAACAAAGAAAGATTCTTCCCATATTGTAGTGTCAATATGGGACACTACAATTGTGTGTCCCGTAATAATATTGGATGACATGATTGCACATCATCCCGCCATCATCCCTGATTACTGCATATCAGAAATGACAGATAACTGAAAACTATGTGAGACATTGCACTTTGCACCAAAGAGGAAATCCACTTTACATGGTTGTTTCAAAAACACAGTGACCCCATGCACAAAAGAGACAGGCATATTGATCCAAGGCCAACAATGCTACTGATATAGGGTGACTTCTCCAATACTTTAAAAAGAAATTGCAGAGTGACGTCAAAAAACGCTAAGCATTGTGGAAATCAGTCCTGGGCTAGAATACCTGTCTCAGACCCCAGAAGTTGGTCATCTGTGCAACACAGATCTGAAAAAGTTCTCAGAATCAAAAGTTTATGTAGGTAAAGTTTGAGTATGTAAAGAAAAATCTAGTCTTCAATCTAATATTCAACATCTGCAGTGATAACACATTCAGAATATTGTCTTTGTGTTTTGCTCTGCGATAGAACATTATTCCCAATGTATTGTATGTATTGACATCAACTGTGAGATTTAGAGATTCACTTCTTTCAAACGCACCGCTGTTATTTAGAACACAGCTGTTTTCTCAATCCCTCCAAAAATATACATGTGGTTCCCAGGTAAAAGGCCACTAAATAAATGAACAAATTCCACCAAAAGGCCAAAATTCACTCACCAATCAGTTTTAATGTTATCTATGTTGAAGCAGATCATTTTTATATAATATCAAGTCCTATTTTGCTCCTCCTTTATTTGTTGATTTTGTTGATATTTGCACTAATTTGACCTTATCTTTAATAAAAGATGGCTGCTGCTCCGTTTCTCTAAGCAATAAAAGATGTGTGTGGTGCTGATTTGGCTCAATATCTAATCTACCAGATAAAGAAATGACTTGAGTTCTTGTGTGAGTCACCTGCATTCCGAGCTCAGTTACAGTTAAAAACGAGGCACAAGCGACGGTCAGAGTTCAAAAATCATGTCAACATTGGCCAAAAACTGCCTTGTTTTTCAACAATTAAGTGCTTACGTCTCACTTACAATATTTACCAATAAGTATTTTTTTTTAATTATTATTATTATTCTTTCCCCAACTTTGTGAAATGGTTTCATACACTTTCTCAAATTATCCAAAGAACACAAACCTACCTTTCACTTTAGACTCTCCTCCTTCCGGACATTTCCTTTATGAATCAGGCGACTAGACTCTACGTGAAAACAAGGAGAAAGTCTTATTTTGTCGGCACTGACAGTACATGTGCCCGAGCTGCGCGTCTCTGAATCATTCTCACTCGAAACAGCTGAACCTGAACCACAGGTAAACGACGTTGCCTTCAAGTACCGCTAAAAAAAAACCGGACAAACGATATTTCCTGCCTCACATAGAGCTTCCGAACACATTGTTCACACAGTCTTGAGACTTCTATTCAGTGTTTGAATAAGTTTCCAAATTACTTTAATGGCAAAAAAATAGTAATAATAATAATAATATCAATAAATTAATAAATAAATGACACCAAAGAGGATGAAGTTTTACCGCTGTCGTTTTCACAACGGGCAGTAAACATTGGCAATTATAAAAAGTCGTAAACCACGTCCTTCCTGTAAATATTAGTCTTATTTTACCTTTGCGGTATCTTTGCGACGGAAGCAAGTAACCACACAAGCAGCTACAGAATGAATATACTGTTTTTAAGTAGTTTCTGTGATAAGAATATGTCGCATTTTGATTTCAGCTTGTGTTACAGCGTTTTAAATTCAAATAGACACTCAAAAGCAAGTCAGCAACCGAGTCACTTCAGATAAATGCTTGGGTAAAACAAAGGTTATTCAAAAACTGGAAACACAGACCCTGGTCGTTGGTGGTGTAGTGTATCAATGTGACCACAAGAGGGCAACGTAGTGGCAGTTCAG